TCTTACAAGAAGAATTTTGTAAGGCATTTGGTTCAATATGTTCAAAAATTTTCCCTCTAATTTTCCTAAGAAAACATGGTAAGAAAGTGGAGGAATTTGGATGACATATAATAGCGAAAATTAAATTAACTCACCTCAAGATCTTTGAGTTCGAAATACGCCTGCCAGCAGCTATAAGAAGCGTCTCCTTCAAGCGTTGAACAGTAATCTGAACATTATCAGTACACCAAAACTACAAATTAATAACTCAATACACAAATTATACTCTCAAATTAATCGAGCATAAAACAGAAAATACGGAGAAGATCGCATTATAGAAAATCTAAACTTTATAAAAAAATTTATCAAATAAAAAACATCAAATTCCTGATTATACACACACACAGATATATATATACACGAAAGTTATGGATCGGAGCACATGCTATATATATACACACGAAAGTATGTATACATGCATAGTAATATAGAAAGGTATATGCTTTTGAGCTAGCAGCACATTTAGCAAAACAATTAATTTATAAAAACAAACCTCATATTAAACTTATCGACTTGGAGTTATAAGATTCTTTCCAGCCCCCCGATTTGGTTATTTCTTTTTGGATCTTGAATACAATAACAAACAAGACTAGACTAGTTTGAGGTTGATGGTAAACCTAACTCCAGTTGGTAATTTAGCAGGTAAATGAAACATAAATTATTTTTTCAGCTTATATTATCATTGGTACCAATGGGTCTTTGGTCCAATGATACTCCTTGTCTTGTAAAGGTTTTGCCTTGTTAAGGTCAATGGTTCAAGTCCTCCTTCCCCTCCCCCCAAAAAAAAAATGTTTAAAAAAAAAAGTTATATTATCATTGGTAAAAAGGCTGCTAAAGATTTAAATTATTAGAAAAGAACCCACTTTATACCTGAAACCAGTGGAGTTTGATGAAGAAGAAGCGGGAGAAAATAACCTACTTTGTATGTGGAACCAATGGAATTTGATGAAGAAGAAACGGGAGAACCAGTGACCTTGACGAAGAAGAAGCGGGAGAAAGAAAAGGGAGACAGGCGAAGTTGGTTTTACCTGGACCAAAATGACGTCATTTTGATAAAGCAGAATAAAAGAAAAATTTCCAAAATAAAGTGAAACGGCACCGTTTTATTTAACCGCATGGCATGCGGTTTTTCACTTACCGCAGAGGCTCTGCTCCCGCACGACTGCACCCTGCCTTTCTCAACCGACTTACAAATCCTCGACGATCGTCACGGCCGCCATTCTCCGTGCTCAGAGGACACAAAACCGGAAGCGAAACCAATCGGAACGCAATAAGCTGGTTGCAACACTCAGGCCAATAGCTCCTTACGGTCCTTGTCCTCTCTCTCTCTATCTCTCAAGTCTCAGCCATTTGTAAGCACCACTGCACAAGGTGTGAATATTCTCAATTTATGCACTGTCGTAATTGATTCGTTTTTACTTCTCATTCTATGTACTCTCGTAATTGAATCTTTATTACATACTGTAACGAGGATAGACGACAACTGAGTTTTCCAGCTAGCCATATAAATTTATAAAACTAACAGAGGACCCACCCGTGCTTTGGACCCTCCCTGATTCTTCTGCATTTCTCATAACATTGAATAAAATGTGGTGTTGTCAAAAAACAAATAAAAATTCCCAACTATTCTCTGCCCCCAATTGATTTTAATCACAACATTTTGCAGCTGTGTGTGTGTGTGTGTGATTCTCCTTCTTGTTGTGTTACCCTTTCTGTTGGCAATTTGTTGTGATCAATTTGTGAGTCCAATATCCGAAGCATATCGTGAATTTGAGTTACTTCTCCTACCTTACTACGTACTTCATAGCACCATTTTACACACACATAAAGTCATAACTATCTCATAAAGATCCGCAGGACAGACTTTGATAACTGAATTGTTACCTGTTTGTTTGACTTGAGATAGTCGAGCTATAGGATAATGCACTTAAGCTTTTGAAATCCCCATATCTATTCTTTTTGAAGTCACCATATGTGTAATATGACGTGGGTAGTCGTGCCTGCCTTTCGTTTTGTTATTGCGGAAAGCGAGAATGATGAATTCATTGAGGTTCCATATTTTTATGCATCATTTATTGACTGAATGCTTGTGACATCATCTATGAATAGAATGTCTCTCACTAGTTTGATTTATTTAAGGAAGTGCTGTTAAATTTGTTTTGTCCCTTCTCAATGCATATGAAGCTGATCTTTTGGCCACTAGGAACAGATCTTATATGCAAATTGTGATCCAGTACACCGAGAATCTCTGTTTTCAACTTTTCTGTATTTTGGACTGAGAATATTTTGCTCTGGTTTTGTAACAAGGAATGATTTTGTTGTCCACATTGCTTGAGCTTATCTGTTGATTAGTTAAACATAAGGAGTCATGGTATAACAGGTCATTATTTTGCGTGCAAATATTTTCTTGTTATGGTCCGAATCATCCAGATTCCGTGCTCCCTAGTATGAAATATCTTTTATCTCCTTCTCTTTCTGTAGCAAAACCTTGGCCCCGTAGCTGAAGCACTTTGGTTGACATAGACACAAAAGTCATCATGTCTTGACATGTTCACTCTAGCCCATGCGACACATGCCCTTATGGACATGCAGAAGAAACTGTCAATACATTAAATTTGATACTGAGCTTGCTTGTTCAATTTGCCTTTAATAGTCCATTGCTTTGGTTAATCTTTGTTGGTGCTTTCTTTGGCTATTCTATAACAGATTTGCTGAACAACCTGATCAGTGGAAGTCTAGACAAGCATCAAAAGAATCTGCTGACATATATTTCTATACTGAATTTGGATCAACGGTATCCAAATCGCCTAAGAATGATGGCTTTCTTGCAGATGTTCATCATCGCACATCACAGCCAGAAAGTTAAAAGAGATGAGAAAAGATATTGGTGATAGCCTGGCTTATGTTGCTGCCATTTCTTCGGGTTCCTGATTTCTCGCTCGTAAGAGTTCAAGCCATTTGAGTACATCAGGCATCAAGTGGCCCTGAGAAAGAGCAGGAAAGCACAGTGAGAAATTCACCAAACATGCCACGAAGGACGATATTTCCAAAGCAAAATTAGAAAGTGGAAAAAAACAAAAAAAGGATGATGCTGGACTGAGAAACCTGTGGAGAACGGAACCACTGAAATTCTTTTGCCACTGGAAACCTTCCAAATCTGTGGACAAGAAAGAGAAGAAACGATACAGGAAAGATGATTTGCAATATCTTTACAAAAGATGATGAACTATAAGATGTACATGTTATTCTTGCACCAACAGTCGTAAACACTACTTTGCCATAGCAAACTGTGTTGGTATTAAATCAAAGAATTGCTTTGGGGGTATTGTTCTATGGTGTTCGCTTCTTCCTTCAGCCATCTTAGGGAGGTTTGGACCTGGCACACAAGAACATGGTATCTGAATGAAAGCTGCTTTTGGTGGAAAGGCTTGAAATTTCGGGAGTTAGAAGTTACTTGTTCTGTGTGGGATTCGATCTGCTGGTAGGTATCTTCCGAAAGCTTGAGTCCACCTCTGCTTAAATGGATCCTTTTTGTCTGTTTGCAAGTCTTCGAGAGATTGTGGAGAGGAAACCATGCTTGAGTCAGAGGAAGGATGTGCTTTTGTCAAGAGGAGATGAGTCGCATGAACTTCATAGCCTGGCTTATGTTGCTGCCATTTCTTCCATTAGGGGAGGAAAATCAAATCAATAAAAGAGCCAGAAGAAAAACAGCCAGTGCTCTGAAGTGTGACTCCATGATCACAGTACAGACCGGAAATATGTGCTGCTATCCAAGTGAAGCTATGGATTTCAAGCTATGAATGAAGATGCAGCTGTGAGTCACTCTTGATTTATTTGATGCGTTTTCTAGTTTTCTGATCACGAGAATGTCATGTTTTAGTAAGTATACATGGGCCAACTTCATAGGATACGGGTCAGTGGATAATAATTTTGTATATATGATACCAATTTTTATTTTTTTTGTCTATTATAAGATAAGATTTGCAGCCTTAATGGATCAGCCCATTGATTGAGTGGAATTAAATTGGTTGGATCAGGAAGAGGAGACTGGAATCCCAATTAAAAGATGTCTGATCACTTGGAGGCCATGTAACAAACCAGTGTTGCTTATGGGCATCAACTGCCCCGCTCAAACCACAGCTGACCTCCAAACAGTCAATGCAAGTGTTCATCAGTCTCTTAACTCTTGTCTGGTCCTTCTGAATATGTTTTTTCTCCAATTCATATCAAAGTTCTAAACACCATACTTTCCTGAACAAGAAATCTGTTGCCTAATAGNAATCTCTTAACTCTTGTCTGGTCCTTCTGAATATGTTTTTTCTCCAATACATATCAAAGTTCTAAACACCATACTTTCCTGAACAAGAAATCTGTTGCCTAATAGAGAATATCCATTGCGTGGGACTTAAAAAAAAAAGGGAGTAAACTAATCAATCAAGTTCATCTCGAATCTCAAGCAATCCTCATCAGCACTATCATCATCAGTTGTATTTTAATGTAAACTATCTCAACCCCTGATGAGCTTAGTTGCGTTTGTTTTTAGTTTTTCCAACCCTCAGTAGGGTAGATCAACAAGTTAGGGAACTCGTGGTGGAACAATTTGTTAGAAATATGAATCCAAAAGATAAAGTGAACGGCAAAGTNTCGTTTTTAGTTTTTCCAACCCTCAGTAGGGTAGATCAACAAGTTAGGGAACTTGTGGTGGAACAATTTGTTAGAAATATGAATCCAAAAGATAAAGTGAACGGCAAAGTGACTAAAGTTGCTCTCTTTAGACAATTTGCATCTCTTTAGGGAAAAAACACAATAAAAAAGTTATTTCTTCTGTTGGTTCCACCCTTACACACGTGAGAGCATTAAAATCTCACTTAACTCAAAGTCTAGATAGAATTAGCATATATATATTTTCGAATATTTTTAAAAATTTAGTCAATATGAAATTAAATTTTTCACATAAAATACTGCGTTTATTAAAATACTCTAACACAACTTGAATCCACATAACCAAGATTACAAAACAAGTTTAGGGAAACCTATAATTTTGCACAATTGTAATTTTGCTCTACAACAAATGAACTAACATTGAACAAAAGTAGGTAAACTTTTGCAATTACTCTTCTGTAAGAGAAAATGGATTGCTCCACAATCTCAAACAGAGAAGCCTCCTGTGTGTTTATACAACATATTCAATTTCACCTAGTTCAAGAAATTTGTTTCATCAACATAGAAACAAGCCTCTAGTGATATGATATCAGGCGTCAAATCTCTGCCCATGTGATGAATTAAAGAAGTTGAAAAAATAAATGGACCACCACCAACTCCCGACCATCTGCTATCTGCAGCTGATTGGAATGCTGAATCCGGAACCATAATTTTGAACCCATGATTTCATGGAAGTGCCGTGCCATCTCCTCTATTGCCACTTCCCAGATTATTATGGCATATAATAGGATAGGATACTAATTTTGGTCTCTGCTCCCTTGTTCCACATCAACATTACTGGTGCTACGAGGACTGACCATCCTTCTGTCCCTGCTCAAAAGTCTCTTCAATGACCTTAATCTTGTTGTCATCGGCGACTTTGGTTCTTCCTCCTCATTAATATGCCTCGGAATATCAATAACCAACGTTCCATCTGGCTTATTGCTAGTCGATGCAGATGACGACGATGAAGAACTTGGTTGAGAAGAATTACCATCACCACCTAGGTGTTCCTGTTCCAAACATGTATCCAAAGTGCTGACCTGGGTTTCATCTCCCCAAAACAACACATTTGTTGGGAAATTCGGGGACTCGTTTGGTGCCTGTGTTATTATTGTCTCCCGATTGGATTCCGGAGTAGAGGATTTCGAAGATGATTGGTTAGAAATCGGGTTTCGACAAATTGGGCAAGTAGAATGAGACTGAAACCACATATCTATGCAATCCACATGGAACCCATGATTACATTTTGGTAAAAGCCGAGCCTTTTCGCCCTCTGAGACCTCACAAAGACAAACGGCGCATTCCAACCCGTCTTTGAAATCTTTGGGAGTGAATGAAACTACGGGTATGGATTCAAGAACCGAGGGATCGAGGCCACGGCGGAGTCCGGTGACTGCATATAAATCTTGCTGGCCAGGGGCAAACTCGAAGCGGCGCCGCCGTCTAGTGCGGCCGGTGGCGGCAGCGTCTTCTTCTCGGCGGTACCAGGACCATCTGGCGTATAGGTGCAGAAAGAAGACAAAAGCAACCACGAGGAAGAGGACTATTATGGACGCCAGCATGATCTTGCCTGTTAGCTGGAGCATAGGCGAGTCATTATTTAATTTCTGACTACCCTCACCTGAATCTCCCATGTTTCAGCTGAACTTGGTAGTCCGATCTGATTCTGATGATGTAACTTACGGTGAAGGAAAATATGTGCAATCCCAAGCAATTAAGCTCTCAGTATTTTCTCGGAATTCCAAGAAAACAAACCTTGAGATTTGAAGCAAAACCCAGATTATATGTTCTTGTACAAACTGGGAATTCTGCAGTGCTCAGCAAATTCAAGTTGGGGGCGGGGTTTATGGGGTTGGAGGGAGAGAGAATTTGAGGAGGAGGAGGAGGAGGAAGAGAAGATGAAGTAGGATTTTGAATTCTAAACAATGGAAAATGGTTGGGGCTTTGGGATTGGACTTATGATTATTTAGGAAAATTCCAATTAGGGGTCTACTTCCTAATGAAACTTGAAAGCTAGACCAAACTCGTAGACCAGATCAAATGAGAGAGGAGAGGAGAGGAGAGGAGAGGAGTCGCATTCAGTACTTATGGAAGTCAATGAAAGACTTATCAACGGCGGCTCTGTTGCTTGGCCAAAGACGGAGAAGATTTCAAAGCCCATACCCTTTCCTCCTTCTTTCCTTNGTCTCATTCAGTACTTACGGAAGTCAATGAAAGACTTATCAACGGCGGCTCTGTCGCTTGGCCAAAGACGGAGAAGATTTCAAAGCCCATACCCTTTCCCCGTTCTTTCCTTTTCTTTGACCGGCACTATGGCCATCACGGACTAAAAATCCACCCTTGGACTTCTCTTTCTCTCACAACCGTATCAATTTGAATAGAGAGAAAGAAGACTGTGATTGTGATTGTAGTATTATTATTCTTTTCTTCATTGTTTCTTCTGGGCATGGCATATCCCAGGATTCACTTGTCAAATTGAAATTTCATCAAGCTTGATCCAATTGAGGCGAATCTTGATTTGATTATTCTATCTATGTCATTTGAGGAAATTGCTCTATACACCGGTTATATTGAAACCATTATGAAAGTAATTTGGATTAANAGAGAAGACTGTTATTGTGATTGTTATCAATTTGAATATTATTATTCTTTTCTTCATTGTTTCTTCTGGGCATGGCATATCCCAGGATTCACTTGTCAAATTGAAATTTCATCAAGCTTGATCCAATTGAGGCGAATCTTGATTTGATTATTCTATCTATGTCATTTGAGGAAATTGCTCTATACACCGGTTATATTGAAACCATTATGAAAGTAATTNACTTGTCAAATTGAAATTTCATCAAGCTTGATCCAATTGAGGCGAATCTTGATTTGATTATTCTATCTATGTCATTTGAGGAAATTGCTCTATACACCGGTTATATTGAAACCATTATGAAAGTAATTTGGATTAACTTAGAAAATTGTCTTCGATTATGGGTCAATTTTTGTCAAAGAAAGTCAATAATATATAATTTCTTTTGATCCCTATGTGGTTGGGTGGGTGGGTAATTTCTCCTCTGGTATAAATAAATCGGTTAAGTTATGATAGTTGATTGTTAATTAGAATAGTGATTTACAAATGTATATAAAAAAGTATATATAGTTGTTGACCAATGTATATAGAGTCGTTTACCAAGAATGAACCTCAAAACTTTGTATAACAACTCCAATCTCTTGATTCTTGTGTCAAAAGTAGTAAGTAGGCCAAACTAAATTACATATTAAAATTAAAATTAAATGATTTAGACAAGATTATCTAAGTGGATCATTTCATTTGAATTTCAAAAGTAATTTTCATGCAGTATTACTTCAAAATTGTTGTAGATTCAAAATGGATTGTCCGTTGTGCCCCCACAAACTATTTTTTGCTCCAATGCATCCCAACAACAAGCCTACAAATTTATCTATTAAAATAGATAGAATATTTTTTGGGCTTAAAAATCTATCTAATAAAATAACTAGCAATAAAATTTAATTTTTTTGGACACTCGAATTTTATGTTACATCGAACCTTCTCCCACAAAACATTTTTAAAGTATGATGTGACATATTTTCTACCATTGAATATTAATGAGACTCACTAAAAATTCTGGTACATTACTTGAGATGAAAATTTTGATAAACATAAGTAAATGTGGCAATTTTAACTAATTACCCATTAATTCGCTCATAAATTAATGGATTGGGTACCTATATTNCCTTTTAGCATAAGAGTGCTGCTCATTAGACTCTCTCCAAACAATATCTGCACTAATGAGTAATGAGGATGTTAAAAAGTGGCAAAAAATGATTTCACTTCCCATAATATTTATCTCTTCGGCCGGTGAAAACAACCATCCACCAACCACTCTCTGTTTTACCATCATTTCCTAACGAATTCTCCTCGCCTCGTTCCCCTTGGTAAAGCAAACACTACCCTCACGAGTCATTTCAAAGAACATGCTAATTTCAGAGGGAGTTGTGATCATCTTTGATTTGTTAAGCATATATAACACAAACAAAATTCGAATCACGGTTTTGTGGCGAAATGATGATGTAATTTTTCCATTGCTGTTTAACTACTAATAGGGTGCAACTTGGGTGGGTTGGGTGAGTTGAGGGGTTAATCATAATTCAATCCTAAGTATATAATCTTCAATCATAATCCTAATCTTAACCCTAACCCGACTTCAATCCGAGGTACTCAACTCAAGTACTGTCTAAGTTAAATTCGGGCGGATTTGAGTTGAATTCGGGTTATGCCCAAGTTATTAAATCGGGTTCACTTTTGGGTTAAATTCGAGTTCAATTTTGGTAGTAACTTATTCAATTAATACAAAGAAATTGAACCAGAGAAAGAAGTAAAAATCCAAACAAAAAAAATGCAAATCCAGAGTGGAGGTCTTCTTCTTCAGATTTGCCACAATAACCACCGCCATTACCACCACAACCACTGCCGATCGCCACCACATCCACAAACATTTCTCATACAGCCACCACACCACAGTTACCAGATTTGACCATCGTTGTGGTCTTTGACATCATAGCCACCAAATCTAAGATGCATCGTTGTGGTCTTTAGCACATAAAAGGAGTGAGAGGGAGGCCGGGAGAGGGATCAAGAAAGGCTGAGAGATGGAGAGGGTTGAGAACGAGAGAGAGAGAAAATGAAAAGGCACTGTGCTTTGAGAGGTAGATATGAGAGTGAGAGTGAGAAAGATTGAGACAGAGTAAGGGTCCTGAGGGAGGCGCAAACTTGAGATTAACCTTAGGATAAAATTATATTTATATAATATTAATTTGGGTTGAACCTGATTATGAAATCAGGTTGATCCCGATTTTAATATTTAAGTTCAACCCATGAACCCGATGCCTCAACCTGAGGCCTACCCAAATTGAATTCGGGTTGAGTTTTTTGATCCAAACCCAACTTAAGTATTAAAACCCTAGCCCAAGTCCTATTTTTTTCAGGTTAAAATCGGGTTAGCCTGCCAAAATTGCACCCCTATCTACTAAATGTAAAACTAATGNTTGAATTCGGGTTGAGTTTTTTGATCCAAACCCAACTTAAGTATTAAAACCCTAGCCCAAGTCCTATTTTTTTCAGGTTAAAATCGGGTTAGCCTGCCAAAATTGCACCCCTATCTACTAAATGTAAAACTAATGTCCTACATTTTTCTATTTATATATATGTTAGTTGTATTTTCGAATTGTGGGGGCGTGCCAAAGTTTGAATAGATTTAATATTTAAACACGTACGACCTTACTTATTCGAACTGGCGTGGAGTTATAAAATCGTGATTATTCAGACAATTGTAGCGAGACATAAAATTATTTCTAATTTCTTTTCTATGCTTTATGGTTCAAAAACTTTAAATAATTTTCCAAATAAAATCGTAAGGATCTACATTGTAGCGAAAACAACAAGAATGCAAAGTAGTGGGTAAACTAAATTCAAATCTGAAAAATGAAACAGATACTGAACTTAGCATTAAATGAAAACAGTAAAAGATCACCAGAGTGATAATTATAGGAAAAGCAAAATTGCTTGAAAACAAGTAACAAATATAAGATAGGCTGGCTCTATAAAGAGTTTGTGTGTTTGATCATGAGATCTCTCCTTAGTGGCCTAGCCTATGCCATTTATAAAGATGATTTTCAAATGTTGATCCATTTTTTCCAACCATTATTGTGATCTTAGACTTGTCCTTGGAGATACGTGAATGTGCGTTGAATCGTCTCCAAATGATGGTTCATGATGTCACGTTTCTTCGTTTTTTGGGATTCTAAGAGTTCTACTTAGGAGTGTCCATGGGCTAGGCCGCAAATTTTTTTTTCAAGCGGGGCCTGTATAGTGTAGGCCTAAGTCCTTATCCAAGTGAGTTATTGGGCAATGCGAGGCCAGACTTTGGGTAGGGGTAGGCTACTCGCAGCCTAACCCGCGAGTCTATTGGGCAGGCTTTCTGAACAGGTCTGCTCGCCGGTCTTTTTATATACAATTTCATTTAAAAATAATGAATATTTTTGCAACTTAATATTTGTGTAAATTATATTTTTGAATCAAAATAGATAAAAATAAATAATGAATAAATTTATTTTTAATTAGGGGATGAACTACATCTAATATAGAATGAATATATTTCAACTAAGTTGACATCTACTCACTTATTTATCATTTGCATTACTCTATCCTTTATAACTATAACTTTTTTTTAAAGTAAGGGTGGGTGGGCTATGTGGGCGGGTTGGGCTTGACAGACAGGCTCTTGGGCCACGCTTCGGGTTGGGTAATGGGTTTAAGGGCAAACTCAAGCTCTCTTTCTAAGGTTATTGAGTTTGGGTTCGGGCTTGAGCGAGCCAACTATCGGATCTATTGGATTTCGGGCCTATTTTTTTTCAGGTCGAGTAATAGGACCCGTGAGTAAACCGACCTATGGACACCCCTAGTCCTACTCTTCTAACAATTTTATCAGTCGTGGTCTCTCACAGACTCCCTTGTGACCATCAGATTCTTTCTACGTGTCACCATTTGATCTTGTTTTTTTTGGATGTAAACAATATGGTGGGTCATTACCATCGTATTATTTTTGTCAACTGAAAATATATAAATTTTTACTACTAAAAGCATCTCCAAGAGAGATGTCAAATTCTGGTTGAACAACTTCAACATCTCTTTTTGACATCCCCTTCTCCTCCGATGATTATGTCAAATGCTGGCTGTGATATGTTAAATGTTGATTGTGTTGACCAAATTTTGGCATGCTACAAAATTTGGCATATTGCCAAATATATCATCTTCCATATCAAATTCTAGTATATCTCAACTTCCTACTTATACATCACATAAATATGGCATATAATATTTGACATATTGGTTAGAGTGATATGAAGATGTCAAATATTAGATAAAAAATTGCCACATAAAACTTCAAATTTAAATTTAACATATAACATTTGACATCTTTCTTCGAGATGCTGAAACCAAATATAAGTATTCAAACCCATCAAATGCCGTTATAACAATATTATTATTGAAATTTAATTAGGGAATCTATTTTCAAGGTTCAATGCAAAGAGACCATTGACTAGCAATAGGTTCCAATATTGAATAAGTCCGCAATTAATCCAATAGATAAAATACATTAAGTTATCAAATTACATCATCCAATTAAATAAAAGTAACATTACTGAATATTTGTCATAATTTATATATTATATTGAATATATTGATACTGACACCACTTGGCAACCCTTACATTAAAGGATTTGACTACAATATCATCAGAAATTTCAGTACCGTTCTAAAATTTACTATTTCAAATATGTTTTTATAATTTTTGTGATTGATTTATTATTTTTATGAGTATTTTTTTCACTGTTATAATATCTATATTTGTCATTTTTTTTCGATATAATAAAATTAATCACTTTTGTTGATAATTTATCACTTTTGTGAGTGTTTTGATCACTTTGTGCGTATTTTTATTATTATTATAATAATTATTTTTATAATTTTTTTCTTTGAATACCGCAATCATAATAAAAGTACCTATAAATATAATAAATTTGGGTATAAGAACAAAATTTTATTTTTGGGTACCCCACTCAAGTCCTACATTAAATATTTACTACGGAAATAGAGCCAAAAGTAAAGGGGCTGCTGCTCCAAGTGATTTTCAGACAAAAATTGAAGAATTACGAATGATTTAGCCTGCTCAACTTAAATGGCATGCTGTTTAGAACCAAAACGATGCAGCTTTGACTAATGGATCACTCAATCACTGCTCCACATCAGAAAAAAAAAATAATAATATTGGTCGTATATTGCTTGTTTATTGTAATGTCAGAGAAACGATCGAAGATGATTTTTTGTTGTACACACACATATTACAGCAGAATAAAAGATACGATGATGATGCTTTTCATAGTTGCAAACATTAAATACTAGCTTAAAGAATGAAATCATGTATGATTCTTTCCTAATTTCTTAATCTTTTCAGAGAGAGAGAGANAGTTGCAAACATTAAATACTAGCTTAAAGAATGAAATCATGTATGATTCTTTCCTAATTTCTTAATCTTTTCAGAGAGAGAGAGAGAGGATCAATTCTATGAATTAGGCAGGTATTGGCAATGCTCACACACAGCAGACATGAGGCCAGGGTTAGGTGGCTTAGCCAGCCATTTAAACATGTTCTCAAAGAGAGAGAAAGGATAACAAAGGAGACCATTAATAGAAGAGTAATGGTGCTGTTGAAGAGGACGTGGAGGTACTGATGTTTTTGGGATGGTACTTCTGCAGAGAGGGCATGTCGAGTGGGTTTCCAACCAAGTGTCAATACAATGGACATGGAACTTGTGGTTGCACTGGGGAAGCAACCGGTATCTGTCACCGGAACAGACTTGGCATAGACAAACAACACAGTACCTGACTTCTTCAAGCCCATCTTCCTCTTTTATAGTTTCTTCCCCCACCATCGTCGTCTCCACCGTGTCATGGTATTGGTGGTGGCTGTTGAATTGCAAGAGTGCAGGCGACCGTAAGGACTTGGCAAATTCATGAAGCAAAGACACAACAGGCAAGGCGGCGAAGACAAGGACGACGCTCATGTTGGCGACTCAAATTGTTGGTTTCTTCTCCGATGGAAATCTGTTATCTACTGCTTTCTTTAGATACTGCTAGGGAGGTTACCACCACTAACTGTATTATTACTTCTTGATATTAATTTGATGCTTCTCTCTCTCTAATCTCTCTCTGTCTCTCGCTCACACACACACACTGTACAGATATATAGTGGGTGAGTGAGCAATATTATCTATGTCTTTGAAAAAGGGGCGACCGGACAATTAAGCTATACTTTTCAGCATGCTGGAGAGTGGCTGGTCAATTCTGGTGGTCGATCGATTTGGCCCATATTGACACGTACGATTTCTTCAGCTGGGTGGGTGGCTTAATGCTTATCTATTCTTCTACATATCATTCAAAGTTCAAACCAGTGCCTCGGAATTCCGTGTCAACTACGTTGTAGCCGGAGCCATGTAGTATTAATTACTCTTTTAATATCCTCTTCTCTTCGTTGCTAGTACTGGAGTGGTGACTTATTACAAACTGTCAAAAACAAAACATGGAATAAACGTGACTATCAAGTACTATCAATCATCCTTTCTTATTCACTTAATCGACTTTAACTCCAAGTTGAGTTCTATCTCTTACGTGCACCACACCCCATCTCTTCCCACGACTGTTACATTAAAAATTCAGAGACTAAAAATTTAAGAGTTAATTACAAAATNTTCCCACGACTGTTACATTAAAAATTCAGAGACTAAAAATTTAAGAGTTAATTACAAAATGAGCAATGTTATATGGAATTAAAAAGTAGACTTAAAAATTAGACTTGATAATCTTAACCATTGATTTCACTGTGGGTCCCAACATTTATTAGGATCCACTATCTATTCAATGGTTGAGATTATCAAGTCTAAGTTTTAAGTCTACTTTTTAAGTCTATGTAGCATTACTCTTACAAAATACTCACTGCAAGTTTTGGTTATGCTGTCGTCGACTCTGTCGGATTTCAATTTCAACAATTTGTTTCCTTAAAGTTTTTGCCTTACCCTTCAAACAATTCTCTTTTTTTCTCTGCCTACCCAACACATTGAAACACAAACCCTACATACAGGGATTAAAGTATCGTTTCGAAACAATCAAAACGTCCGAAACGTTTCCGTTTTCAAAGGGACCGAAACGAATCAGTGATAAAATCGAAATTCTAATACTTCGAGATGTTTCATAATATTTTGAAATATTGTTATATTTCAATGCATTTGCACAATTATTTCAAAATATTTTAAGGCATTTTCAAGATATTTTAATATATTTCGATTAATATTTTTTAAAAATAAGTCTTAAATTTTTTATTTTTTCATTTTGTTTCCGAAACGGGTCGATACGTTTTTTCGTTTCCGGAGCGACCGAAACGATGCACCGAAACAAAATTTTGATCAGTGACTATATAATACATAGCCCTCTTTCCCCAACTCCATTGCCCCCAACTCAATTCGTGTATGTATACAAATTCTCTCTCGTTTTCAAATGGGTGCTACCTAGGTTTGGGGTCCACTCATAAGGGGTGGGGTGGGTTTCACCGGTGGAGGTGGTTTTTATTTGTGGAGGAAGAGAGTTCACTTGTTTATTGGTGGGGATGGGTTTCAACAGAGGATGTGGTTCTATGGGTACTTGTTGGACTTTCGTGAGAAGTTGAATTTTTTTTAATTATTTTTAGAGCAATGGATAGAGATTAGGGTAATTTTGTATTTTTGGTTGAATTTTAAATCACTTGAAATTTACTTGACAAATTTTCATAATTTTTAACGGTGGGACATTAACGATTGGAATTAATTGAAAAAATAAATAAATTTTAAGGGAGTAAATTGTTGAGTTTGAGACCTAAGGGAGTTGATTGTAATATATCCTAAACTTGGAGGAGATATTTTATGATTAACCCAAAATTTAACTCGGACGATTGAACCGTGGTGTCTCTCATTGCAATTGACAAGTGACTATCAGAATAATCAAAGTTGAATATCCTTCTTTATTAGGTGACCAGAAACAAACAAATAAATTTATATATGGGAAATATTATTGAGACTTTAATTTATTAATATAATTTATTGACTTAATTCATTATAATCATTGGATTAATTGTGTGTTTTATAAAATATTAAAATTTAATGTTAATCAAATAATTATAATAAAAATATATCATTAGGTCATTAAATTAGATTAAATTTTTATATTTCAATAGCATTACTCTTATATATATCAAGACCTACGGACCAATCACAAGTTAGACAACGTCTTGGGCTCTCAAAATGTCCAAAATGACCTATTCTTTGGTCCGAATCTATCACCCAGCATAGAAAAGGGTGAAATTTAAGTGGGTTGAGAAGTTAACTTTAACCCAACTAAACTTTAAGTATATAATTTTTAACTATAACTCTGACTTGACCTTTAATCCGAGCACTGCTCCAAACAGACTCAGATTGAATTCAAGTTCTTTAATTCGAGTTGATTTTAAATTAAAATTCGAGTTAGTATTTTTTACATCAACCAAACAAGATGAAACTTAATCGAGTAATCACAATTCACAGTAATATAATTCATTTCATCAACCCATAGACCTTCTGTATAAACTTCAAAATTAACCAATTGAAAAAATACAAACTAAAGAATTTTCTCTAATAACAATTTTAATGTCATACATTGCTACATACACACAAATATACTTGTATGTATGTGTATACATGAACCCGATAATTCGAGTACTCAATTCAATTAATTTGAGTTGGTATTTTTCAATGTAGTTCCAACTCAAATATTAAAACTATAAGTTTTTTTTTTTTTTTTCAAATTAAACTCCGACTGAATTCGAGATGACCGACTGAAGTTGCACCCCTGAATTTCTAGATTAATATGACTGGTATCCCAAGAGCAGCACTTTACCATTATACCATCAATTNAAGTTGCACCCCTGAATTACTAGATTAATATGACTGGTATCCCAAGAGCAGCACTTTACCATTATACCATCAATTCTTCATCTTCTTCCCTAAGCACGGAGTCACAGAGAGAGTAAAGAGTTACTATATAAGAGGGATGGAATTGTGGTTCATTCGTACCAGAACGCCCAGCTACAATGTTCGTCGCTTGACGTTATTTTCATCATCTGCGAATTATTCATTAGCTCTTTTCCTCTAAGCGGATGATGAAGAGAGAATCTTCGGACGAAGAAAACGATCGACTGGACCAAATCCTCCAAAACGAAACACCAAGCAAGTTCCCCCCGCCCCCTTCCCCAACGCTCCACTTTCCACATTGACGATTTTGAGAACGGGAAGATCATCGGCAATCGAAGGTTTTGCTTCAATAAAGGGTAGTGCCTTTTTCCCATTTTCCTCCCACTTTCATCCTCATAGTTCACTTCACTGCCGGCATAAAAAATCTATTCCTAGTCCAAACCAGAGTTTCCGACCTCAAATTCGACGGTTCCATAAATCGCATGCGCGAGTACTCCCAATTACGTGCTTTGTATTTTTTGAGGCAACAGCAATTAGGGCTTTTCAATATATGGAGTTGGAACCACACATTTGGCACGCCTTCCAATTATACTGTAGAAAGTTCTTTGAATTAAAATGCCATAATTTTCTGCATTGCTTGAAGATCTCAAACCTACGGTGCTTAATCAGATTAATTTGAATAAACAAATCCAGCAAGTTCTGTTATCGTCACATCAATCGGGAAATTAGTTGGAATTAGGTGATAATATTAGGACCGGTGGTTTGAATAGATGCCAAAAGGTCGATCAGAAGTTCACGCACAATAGAGTAGAAGCCAATGTCGAATAAGCACTTGTTTGCAATTTGCACATGGGGACAAATGTCAAACCATTTGATTTGTTTAGAGCAGCGTATGATTTTTCGCTGCTGTACTTAATTGTGTATTAGTTATTCCGAGCTCCAAAGTTGATTATGTGCTGGGGGAGAGAAGTTGTACTTACATTTGAAGAGTTTGTGGAAAATAGCAAGCACCATTTGCACATTGATAAATTTATTTGTTATTTCTCCTTGCGGCAGCCTTGTTTTGTGGATGATGAACATGTTAAGAAGTTTAAGGGGTTGGGGGTTTCTATGGCTAAGCTTGAATCTCCTTGGGTTGAGGATGTTAAGAAGCCAGAGAAGAGGACAGTTAAAGATGTCTTGGAAAAGTTTTCTGCTGGTGATGATGTTATTGCAATCGGAGATGTATTCTTTGCTAATGTTGTGAAAGAGTGGGTGATGCAGCCGGGTGGTCCTATTGCACACAAATGTAAGACTCTGATTGAACCGAGTCGTTTTATTATGCTCACTGCCCAGCGTTTCATCCAAACATTCTTGGGAGAGAACTTTATAGCTCTTCATTTTCGGCATCATGGCTTCTTGAAGTTTTGGTATGCTTTGCTTTCTCCCTTGTTTCTTTTATTNCGCTGCCCAGCGTTTCATCCAAACATTCTTGGGAGAGAACTTTATAGCTCTTCATTTTCGACATCATGGCTTCTTGAAGTTTTGGTATGCTTTGCTTTCTCCCTTGTTTCTTTTATTAGTGTTCAACCGGCTTGCTTGTAGCTTCTTACATTCAACAGTTTGAAACATGTAAAACTTTGAATATTCATTACTTGTAGTCAAGGTGATGATTGTTGGTTTTATTCCATGTATTTATTCTTCATTTTACTCTCATGCTAATCATATGAAGTATTTGCTACAGATACCACATATACATGGGATAATCATGTCGGTGCATACGTCATCTACAGTTCTATCAATATGCATTAATTCTTGCTGGTGATGAGTTTTAAACCTCTGACCCCTCCCATCTGTTAAGATGTTATTCCGGCAGTTAAACACTATGTACAATGGCTTTATCTTAGGCGATTAGAAATTAAGAAAGCATATTAGCATGTAATGTGCAGTTAGTACCGTTAGGGATAGCCAAGCACCACTTCATCCCCTTTTATCCAACTTTAAGCAGTCTTTGAACAGTCATTGTCTGCTGCTCATCACAATGCACTCATTTTCGATGTTATTCTCTAATTAGGATGTATTGGGCCTCTTAGAGCATCCAAGTAATCCTCCCACCCACATGCAGTCGCTCCCACCTTTGACACTATGCAGGATTATGTGGACTGGTCTAACCTGAAATGAAGGATATACGGCTGGCAGAGAAGGGTGGTCCAACATGTCTAGATTTCTCTTTCTGCACAAAAGATCTATACACCTGTAGCAAATGCTTCTACTGGACTGTAGGGAAACTACATTTCTATAGGTTGCTGTTAATATTTCATATAACCCATATTTCCCCTCTCTCTCACAAGTCGCAACTGATGTCCATCAATCACAGGTTCCAGCTAGTGTGCAAAGCATTATTACTCGTGCTAAAATGCTGCCTGTTATGGCGTGTACATTGGAAAAGAAGAGCTCAATGAAGCTGGAACCTGTGATTGATGTCATAAATAGTCTAAGGTGGTGTTTGATAATGCAATTCAACATTTAATTAAGTCCATTTGATAATTAGAATTGTTATCTCTTAAAATATTAAGTGCCTCTTAAAAATAGGTTTAGAAATTAATCCTTTATTTAATGCTGAATGCTCCAAGCGTCAGCTACAATAACTTGAAAATCTTTTCAATATGACAATTTTATATTTGTATTATAGGCTTCTGTAACAATATTTGTATCTGTCATTTTCTTGTAAATATGTTATCATGCGAAAAAAGTAGTTTTATACATGAAAAATATACACGCCTCTGACTGAAATCCTCCTCTTTATAAAACAACAGGCACTCTAGCCGATGTGGCCAAGTGGAATCAGCATACCATTACCATAAATATACATAGGCTGTAGGCCGCAGAACTTGTGCCGTTAGTACCCGTTAGATGTGTTTATTTGAAATCGTCAGATAGACTTATTAAAGTATGTCCTGTTTTATATTATAGATTTATAAGAAAGTCTCACGTGCGTCAAAGTTAACAACGAATTTAGAAAAAATAATTTTATTNTTACCATAATAGGCTGTAGGCCGCAGAACTTGTGCCATTAGTACCCGTTAGATGTGTTTATTTGAAATCGCCAGATAGACTTATTAAAGTATGTCCTGTTTTATATTATAGATTTAAAAGAAAGTCTCACGTGCGTCAAAGTTAACAACGAATTTAGAAAAAATAATTTTATTAAGTCAGATTTCATAATAAATTGACACAAAAATTAGTTTAAGAGTTTAATTAATACACATGAGAAGCTTAGGGATTAACTCAATATCCGATAAAACAAATGAAGGGTAAATTCGGGAAAGAGCAGAGATATAGAAAGTCTCAAGTCTTGCGATGGTGGCAACAATGGTCCGCTGCTCCACCAGTAATTATACAAGTTACATGAGATGACAGAATAAAACGTTTGCAGCTAGGTTTCAAGTAAAGAACTTTCAAGGCGAGGGGTGAAATTGAGCGATGGCGCCTGAACCTGAAGATGAGATCAAGGACGAGAAGAATCCCCGACCTCTCGATGAAGACGATATCGCTCTCCTCAAAACATATGTACAGTTTCCTTCCCTTCCCCTCTTAAACCATTGTTTCTAAGCTCTCGATTCTTTCATTCTGTATACGGATTTGATAGGCTTCTTGATGTTTTGATATTATGTTGATTTGTATCTCAGCATCTGTTTAGTTACAGAGAAAACTGAGGATTTTTTTTTTTTGTTGGAATGAGAAAACCTAGATCAGAACAATAATTTTGGAAGTAGGCCAAATGCCGACTTAAACTCTGAGACAAGTGGTCAAATTAGGCGAAGCTGAGCAATAATTTTCCTTTCTTGAGCCCCAAAGATCTGGTAATTAAAAAATTACTGCGATACTTATGCAACTTTCCCTTTTCATTAGTTGGACAAAGTTTAGGTTTTCAGATGCTCATAATAATAAGTTCAACAACTCAACACCATGTCAATGCACGCCCCTAATTCTTGTCGGTGAAATAGCCTTTGAAAAAAACCGATTTGTACTGAAATAATTACCCTATTATGGTCAATTGCACTAGTTCAGGCAAAGGATAAATAACTAGAAATTAACTGATAGAATAGTCTTTCTATTCTTTTCAAAAATATAATCTGCCATGTGTGTTATGGCTATACCTGCCTATAGGATCTTTTTCACCACCAACATTGGGTCAGTTTGCAGTGTCCATTGAAGCATCGCCATAGGGCAGAAAACTCTTCCACTGATTTTAACGAATGTTCCAGAAAACATTTTAGAATTCGCTAAGGGTAATGGTATTGTTGTTTCTATATTGAGCATCTTTTTATCTTTTTTGAAAGAGTGACTATAGTCTGTAAAGTTTTTGGTTAACTTGTCTTTTGGATTACCTAGAAACCTATATTTGTAAAGCAAATGGATTATATTAGCTTGTTTATATATATGCAAGTGGTCAAAGGTGTATAGTGGTCAAACTGAGGTTGTGAGAAGAAAAGGGCCACGTCACTGTTTCTTTTTGCAGGGTCTGGATACTTGGTGACTCATCAGGCCAAATGCGTTCTTAGTAATCCATCAAGCCATTTGTTTATTCCCCTTTGTCTTGGGGTTCCATCCTTGCCTTTTAATGTGGCTATAAATATGTTTACCTGTCCTTTCTTTTTCTTTCTTTGCTGTATATATTTGCTTATGTTGGTTATGGCGTTTGATGGTTGAATTTTGCCTGTATTCTTTCCTTGGTATTTTGAATGAACAACTAGAATTGTATATGCAGGGTTTGGGACCTTATTCTACCAGCATAAAGAAAGCCGAGAAGGAGATTAAGGAAATGGCTAAAAAGATCAATGATTTATGTGGTATGCTCTTGGATCTTATGCTTCTTTTCCTCTTTTATTTCTACTCATCATTAATTTCTTTCTCTAAAGTTTCTTTCTTACTTTTTATGAGTATCTGATCAAGCTAGTTACAGTTTATACCTTAATGTTTCTTAAACTGTAACTTCAATTGTCATTTTCAACAGGTATCAAGGAGTCCGACACTGGATTAGCTGCACCCAGCCAATGGGATCTTGTTTCTGATAAGCAAATGATGCAGGAGGAGCAACCTCTTCAGGTGTAGTTACTTTATAGTTGTAAAGGCAAGGTTTTTGTTTTTATTTGCTCTATTTCTATAGATGTGATTGGTATTTGCACCAGGTGGCAAGATGCACGAAGATAATCAACCCAAACACCGAAGATGCAAAATATGTGATAAATGTTAAGCAAATTGCGAAGGTATATTTATCATGTCTTTAGCTAAGATATGTTGGCTTATATTTTGCGGAGTGACCATGATGTATAAATTGCTATCATAAGCTCTGCTTATTTCATGATTGTGATTTTATTTTTACAGCAAGAAATTGAGACTTTTCTTCAGTAAACAACTGTGACATCACATCAATTGTTTTACTGTAACAGTGGAACTGCTGTGATGCTTTTAGTAAAGCACCTTTTGCAAAGTCAATGGTCACAGTGGGAGATGTGATCCATCCAAAACTGTTTTTTTAAACCCCACTAATAGACCTTGTGGCGAAGTGGTACCCCTTCATCTCCAAAATAGGAGGTAGCTGGTTGAGACCTCACCCATTGATGCAAGTGAAAACTGTTAATTTTCCCCCAAAAAAAAACAATTATAATGTAAACTTTTGCCCAGAACGGTAATTGTATATTCTAAATCATATAATTTTACGTATTGCTGTGGATTCTGGCAACAAAACAAAAATTTCTTATGGAATGAGAATTTTTTATGCAATATATTTTATTGGAAAAGGGAGTGTAAATTAACTCGGTTGTACTATTGATAGAGATTTACCAGCATCTTTTTTAACTGATATTCTCTCTTCATAACTACAGTTCGTTGTTGGGCTGGGTGATAAAGTTTCCCCAACAGATATTGAAGAAGGGATGCGTGTCGGGTAGGCTTACTCTTTCCCACTTTTCAGTATTTAAGCATATATAATTCTATGGCAGACACTTGTACGAATTTTGTAAAAGATTACACTCTTCATTCGTAACATGGACGAGTTTGCTTAATGGTGTCTTTTGGCAGGCTACTTTCATTACAATGATGGAGGGTTAAGCTGTATATCTCAAGTTGTACTTTTTTTTATATTCTATGATCAATATTGGGTTCTCAAACACAACATTTCTGAACTTCTTAGATGGGGTCATGTACTTGCTCATCTTGTCCAAAAATGTTGACAAATCTCATTTAGAAATAGACATATCCCCGTCTCTTAGTTTCTGAAATTCATACTTGAACAAGTACAATTNGGTCATGTACTTGCTCATCTTGTCCAAAAATGTTGACAAATCTCATTTAGAATAGACATATCCCCGTCTCTTAGTTTCTGAAATTCATACTTGAACAAGTACAATTTTTCCTATTGAATGGTAATTTTGAGCATCAATCTATTTTAGTGTCAGTACTGCTATTATAGATCAATACACCTGATTTGGATGATTACAAGTGTCCATGTTACAATCCAGGATACACTTGACTTGGATGATTACAAGTGTCCAAATACTGTTTTCATCCCTATGAGAATTTATTAAGTTTTTGAAAATCTGTTCATTTTTGTACTGCGTTATGGTGATAGTTCCTGCTATTTTAATTCTATGAAAAAAAACTTAAGGCTATTCTACAATTTTGAGTTACTTTCTAATTGCACTATTCCCATATTGGTGGTACTTAATTCTATTTCATTGTTGGACACCTGTGTTAGCTTGATTGGTTTGCCATCATTGCAGTGTTGACCGGAACAAGTATCAAATTCAGATCCCCTTACCTCCCAAAATTGATCCGAGTGTAACCATGATGACAGTAGAGGAAAAGCCAGATGTGACGTATAATGATGTTGGTGGGTGCAAGGAACAGATTGAAAAGATGCGAGAGGTTTGTATGATATATCCTTGGTTGGATCATCTTTCTTTCTCCCTTGGTATCTTTTGTTTACAAATCTAACATTTTACATATGAATACCATTAGCTTAGAAACTTGGTTTGGCACTATACCAGACGGGAGACGTTTTCATGATATCTTGGAAATCTGTTGTAGGTTGTTGAACTACCCATGCTTCACCCTGAGAAATTCGTGAAGCTTGGAATTGATCCTCCTAAGGGTGTCCTTTGCTATGGTCCTCCTGGAACTGGCAAAACGCTTTTAGCCAGAGCCGTGGCTAATAGAACTGATGCTTGCTTCATTCGAGTTATTGGAAGTGAGCTTGTTCAGAAATACGTTGGTGAGGGAGCTCGGATGGTTCGTGAACTGTTTCAGGTGACAAGTGGGTCTCATGTTGGACAAGTTAGATGAGCTTGTCTTGCTAATATCTTCTTATCTGTCTAATGCCTTTGTTGTGCAGATGGCACGCTCAAAAAAGGCTTGTATTGTGTTCTTTGATGAAGTTGATGCCATTGGGGGTGCACGGTTTGATGATGGTGTTGGTGGAGACAATGAGGTTCAGCGCACAATGCTCGAAATAGTGAATCAGCTTGATGGATTTGATGCTCGCGGAAATATCAAAGTTCTGATGGCAACGAATAGGTGAAGTTATCTATTTCTTGTACAACTGGCGTTCTTAATTCTCCATCTCTGTAATGCTGTATCTATCATGTGCGTTGTCTTTGGATGGGAAGGGTTTCTTTTTGTTCTTCGAGCACAAGTAATCTTTGGTAAAAGATGTGGTGTGAGGGTACCTATGGTTTTGTCTATTCTGCTCTTTTTTTCCATTGATTTACTTGGGGGTGTATATGTGGTGGCGGTGTTTTTTTTTTTTTTTTTTTTATGGGTTGTGGGGGGAGGGGGGCGCTTCTTATTACATGCTTGTCTAGTCCGGTTTCTTTATTTTGCTTCGTCTGTGGGTTTGTCCGTTGTCAAACTGGAGGACCAAGATGCATGTGTCACATGGTGGTCTCTTTTGTCATTTTGGGTATTTTTCTTCCTTTTTTTGGTGGGAGGAGATAATTCAATTTGCCTTGGTTTTGAGGGCTTGTTTAGTCTTTGTGCCCAAAATAACGAGGCTTAGTTAGCACAAGTGTGCTTCCCCCCTCCCTCCGCCTTTCTCCCCCTCTCTTCCCCTTTTTTGCTCTTTTTCTAGACCTTTTTTATGCTTTTAAAACTTGCTGACTAATGCATTGGCCATTGCCATTTCTTCAGACCTGACACACTGGATCCAGCACTGTTACGTCCTGGAAGATTAGATCGCAAAGTTGAGTTTGGCCTACCAGATCTGGAGAGTAGGACACAGATATTTAAGATCCATACACGAACGATGAACTGTGAAAGGGACATTCGGTTTGAACTTTTGGCGCGCCTCTGTCCAAATTCTACCGGTAAACTTCAACCTTTTAAGGTTATGCTGTTGCATTAGCAGGAATTGATGCAGCAAATTTCTTTGGTGTTAGAATGAATATTACTTGTTGAGAGACTTTTTTTCTTTTTTTTGTATTGGTCATACTTATTTCTATGCTGTCTTAGATTCTTTATTTTGGTGTCTTAAAGTCAATTAGCCATTGTTATTTTGGTAAGTATACATGATTATTGGTGTAGTAGTTGGTGCTAATGTTTAACTAGCATTGTAACTCATTTGGTTTTAGGCCTTTTTTTTGGTTAATGGTTATACAGAACTTCAGGATTTTTTTTATCTAAAAACAAAAAAAAAAAAAAAAAATTAGCTACCTTTCTGGACGAAGAAAGGCTGTCTCATAAGCATTTGTACGTTAGTTTGCCATCTCATGTTCGCATGATGGCAGAGGTGTCAACCCCGTTCTATCATCCCCTTTACAAGTCTTCCCTAGTTAGTTTCCAAAGCACCCCACCCCACCACATGCGCACAAACAGAAAAAGAAAAATAGTGTATATGTCTTCTGCTATTTGTTTTTCTCTCAATGGATGTTGAATCTTCTCTTATTCAGGAGCTGACATTAGAAGTGTGTGCACGGAGGCTGGAATGTTTGCGATTCGAGCTCGAAGGAAGACAGTAACAGAGAAAGACTTCCTTGATGCAGTGAGCAAAGTCATCAAGGGTTACCAGAAGTTCAGTGCAACTCCCAAGTACATGGTCTACAATTGATTGAGCTGCCATGCTTAGCCTATGAAGAGAATTGTGGTGGCTGATACAACTTGGGGCTAATTTGTGGATGTTGTCTCCACTGAATATGGGTTTGGAATTGTTCTTTCTCTACTATGAAAATGAAGGAAATGTAATCAGTTTGTGATAGCTGGGGCTATTTGGTACCCTTTCATTCAAATCTCCAATACCAGCCATTTTTAGTGCAAACTTCTGTTGTGTTTGTGATGGGCTTATAGTTTATTCCGGTTACTGAGTGGATTAGTTATATACTTTGGACGAATTCTATTTCATGTTATATCAAAATCTTTGGTACTTAGCTGGCTAAACCTGGTTTTTGAAGTAAAACAAAATGAACTTTTAGTTTCTGACGAAACACATCCAACAGAGGTTGGTGGTTGAAGTTTTCAAATGCTATACGCTCTAATAAGCAAATGGGGGCGCTGCTGTAAGACTGCAGCTAGCTTAATTTCTGTTTCTGTCGTTCCTGGGCTCCACTCTGAGTAGATATATGTATGATTGGTTGGTCTCTTAGCTTCTGCACNCTTTTAAAACTTGCTGACTAATGCATTGGCCATTGCCATTTCTTCAGACCTGACACACTGGATCCAGCACTGTTACGTCCTGGAAGATTAGATCGCAAAGTTGAGTTTGGCCTACCAGATCTGGAGAGTAGGACACAGATATTTAAGATCCATACACGAACGATGAACTGTGAAAGGGACATTCGGTTTGAACTTTTGGCGCGCCTCTGTCCAAATTCTACCGGTAAACTTCAACCTTTTAAGGTTATGCTGTTGCATTAGCAGGAATTGATGCAGCAAATTTCTTTGGTGTTAGAATGAATATTACTTGTTGAGAGACTTTTTTTCTTTTTTTTGTATTGGTCATACTTATTTCTATGCTGTCTTAGATTCTTTATTTTGGTGTCTTAAAGTCAATTAGCCATTGTTATTTTGGTAAGTATACATGATTATTGGTGTAGTAGTTAGTGCTAATGTTTAACTAGCATTGTAACTCATTTGGTTTTAGGCCTTTTTTTTGGTTAATGGTTATACAGAACTTCAGGATTTTTTTTATCTAAAAACAAAAAAAAAAAAAAAAAATTAGCTACCTTTCTGGACGAAGAAAGGCTGTCTCATAAGCATTTGTACGTTAGTTTGCCATCTCATGTTCGCATGATGGCAGAGGTGTCAACCCCGTTCTATCATCCCCTTTACAAGTCTTCCCTAGTTAGTTTCCAAAGCACCCCACCCCACCACATGCGCACAAACAGAAAAAGAAAAATAGTGTATATGTCTTCTGCTATTTGTTTTTCTCTCAATGGATGTTGAATCTTCTCTTATTCAGGAGCTGACATTAGAAGTGTGTGCACGGAGGCTGGAATGTTTGCGATTCGAGCTCGAAGGAAGACAGTAACAGAGAAAGACTTCCTTGATGCAGTGAGCAAAGTCATCAAGGGTTACCAGAAGTTCAGTGCAACTCCCAAGTACATGGTCTACAATTGATTGAGCTGCCATGCTTAGCCTATGAAGAGAATTGTGGTGGCTGATACAACTTGGGGCTAATTTGTGGATGTTGTCTCCACTGAATATGGGTTTGGAATTGTTCTTTCTCTACTATGAAAATGAAGGAAATGTAATCAGTTTGTGATAGCTGGGGCTATTTGGTACCCTTTCATTCAAATCTCCAATACCAGCCATTTTTAGTGCAAACTTCTGTTGTGTTTGTGATGGGCTTATAGTTTATTCCGGTTACTGAGTGGATTAGTTATATACTTTGGACGAATTCTATTTCATGTTATATCAAAATCTTTGGTACTTAGCTGGCTAAACCTGGTTTTTGAAGTAAAACAAAATGAACTTTTAGTTTCTGACGAAACACATCCAACAGAGGTTGGTGGTTGAAGTTTTCAAATGCTATACGCTCTAATAAGCAAATGGGGGCGCTGCTGTAAGACTGCAGCTAGCTTAATTTCTGTTTCTGTCGTTCTTGGGCTCCACTCTGAGTAGATATATGTATGATTGGTTGGTCTCTTAGCTTCTGCACAAAGCTACATATGAACGATGTCTGGCATATTGACCACAAATTGATGATCGCATAATAGTAGTAAAAGTTCCAAAGAAGATATAAAAATCAATCAAGGGAGTCCTTGCATGACGTTTGGGCTTGAACTTGGAACTTGGAACTAAGAGCAAGGTTTGGTCTGATAACCATAAGGCTATAAGTTCGAACATAAGGGCAATCACCACTTTTTTGTAAATAATAATGCCAAACATTAGGTTTATTATACCCATTCTACTCCTCTCAGGCACCAATAATACTACTAGGTACTAGACTGGGTGTTACTTTTTTAATCCTAAATTTTTTACAGCTTCCCATTAATGTTGCAATAACAAGGGATATCATTGTACTATCCAAACCTCGTATTGCCAACAATGAACCACAAACAATAAAAGAAGGGACAAGAAATTTATGAAGCTATGTTGGTGTGGTGTCTGTCATACTCCTTGCGTTATTTTTTTTTCCTCATTGACGCTAGGGTTCGAAGCTATCAGTCACTTGGCAATCTCATGTTGTACGCCGTGAAAAGTGACTGCTTTTGTACTCTCCCGAGAATCATATATATATATATATATATATATATATATATATATATTAAACTGATCAAAAAAGAATAATAGTTGTGGTGTTAGGAAGAACAAAAGAAACCTCATAGTCATAGTGATCATAAGCTAGCTGTACATTAATGGAACCTTAAACCTGCAATGATGAGATATGAATAAGTCTCATGATCTTGAGTTGTTTATTTTTTAAGATCATAAGTTGAACATCTGAATCTATGAAGATTGAGCTTGTCCGAAGATCAATCCAAATCGTTATCAGATCTGGATATATATAGCAAATCTCAGTAATCACATGCCCAAAATTTGCCTATCAGTAAAATCTGGTCTTTCGTATGAATTCAAGGTTCTTGAGGTCCATATTCAAGCTCAAAGATTTGCCTATATATATATATATGTGGACAACTGGGGCCAGTTGCTTTGTAAGTCGTAGCTACANCAAGCTCAAAGATTTGCCTATATATATATATATGTGGACAACTGGGGCCAGTTGCTTTGTAAGTCGTAGCTACAAGAATATACAATCAGAGAATTTTGAATGGTGAGCTTGCAGCAGATTCAAAGATCTCTTTTTCGTTGATTAATAATAGAGTAATGTTGTCTTTAAAGTCAATATAGTGCGTATTCCAATTTTGGAGCTCTGCTGAAACGCAACTTCATGTGAAATAAGCTCCTTTTACGTAATTTTCCCCCTTTTTTTCTTAACTATCAGAATAAAGCAAGACTTACTAGAGAATTAGTATCGTAGCAGACGAGACATCTAAACATTTATGGTACTACTACAAAATAACACTTTAAATCTCAGGCAATAGACTTCATTTTTTTTTTATCATTTACCAGTTTTGATCAATTTGGCTAGAATTTGAAAAACAAGTAAATTTAGTTTTGAATTCTCAATTAAAATGGGACATTTTGGGATGACCCAAGACCAAGAGCGAATCCATGCATCACAGATATATCTATCCTCATTACAATCTACCCAAATAAATAAGCAGAAATAACAAATATATACATAGCATAGGGCTGTGTGATTGAGAGACAGCAAGAAAGAGTACCTTAGGACTAAGAGCCACTGTGGCCGACACCCTGTTCCCAAATTCCTTTGCTTGCCTTGTCCTTATTAAGCACTCCTCCTTTTTTCATGCTCCTTTACCACTAATCTATTCTATTTCCACTCAAAACCATCCCTTCTTCTTTTCCAATTCACTAGACCATATACTAACATAGTCAAATACACACACACACCCATTTATTACATAGAAAAATCCTTGCCCACGTTCACCCCCTTTCCTTGTTAGAAAAACAATGTAGATGGAGCTACATCTTTCCATGCAAATTAAAATCCCTGTTTTCGAAGGTGACCATGTTCATTGTTCACTCCCCCACCCCCCGCCCTCTTTCTTCAAAAGCCAGTCTTCTTCCTATAAATACATGATTCCTTCACCCTATCCCACTCAGGGTCCAGCTCCAAATTGTGAGCTTTTTTCCCATCTTTTGTTTTCTTTTCAAGTTTCTACTAAAATCTAAATCAGTTGTCAACAATGGCTGAGCTCAAACAACAGTGCAAGAATGGAGGGTTCACCTACACCCATTCAAAGAGAAAGGGTCATGGATTCACCAGGAAGTGCGCTTCCTTGGTTAAGGAGCAACGAGCCCGAATTTACATCCTTCGTCGATGTGCCACCATGCTTCTCTGCTGGTACATTCAAGGAGATGACTAGCTGATAATAGCATACACTTCTTCAATTATTCCTTCTCTAGCTTTCTTTTTTCCTTACAAACAAATCTTACTGGCAAACTTGGAACACAGTGATCTGGAAATAACAATCACAATGGTTATTTTCATTTCNCCAGTTTTGATCAATTTGGCTAGAATTTGAAAAACAAGTAAATTTAGTTTTGAATTCTCAATTAAAATGGGACATTTTGGGATGACCCAAGACCAAGAGCGAATCCATGCATCACAGATATATCTATCCTCATTACAATCTACCCAAATAAATAAGCAGAAATAACAAATATATACATAGCATAGGGCTGTGTGATTGAGAGACAGCAAGAAAGAGTACCTTAGGACTAAGAGCCACTGTGGCCGACACCCTGTTCCCAAATTCCTTTGCTTGCCTTGTCCTTATTAAGCACTCCTCCTTTTTTCATGCTCCTTTACCACTAATCTATTCTATTTCCACTCAAAATCATCCCTTCTTCTTTTCCAATTCACTAGACCATATACTAACATAGTCTAATACACACACACACCCATTTATTACATAGAAAAATCCTTGCCCACGTTCACCCCCTTTCCTTGTTAGAAAAACAATGTAGATGGAGCTACATCTTTCCATGCAAATTAAAATCCCTGTTTTCGAAGGTGACCATGTTCATTGTTCACTCCCCCACCCCCCGCCCTCTTTCTTCAAAAGCCAGTCTTCTTCCTATAAATACATGATTCCTTCACCCTATCCCACTCAGGGTCCAGCTCCAAATTGTGAGCTTTTTTCCCATCTTTTGTTTTCTTTTCAAGTTTCTACTAAAATCTAAATCAGTTGTCAACAATGGCTGAGCTCAAACAACAGTGCAAGAATGGAGGGTTCACCTACACCCATTCAAAGAGAAAGGGTCATGGATTCACCAGGAAGTGCGCTTCCTTGGTTAAGGAGCAACGAGCCCGAATTTACATCCTTCGTCGATGTGCCACCATGCTTCTCTGCTGGTACATTCAAGGAGATGACTAGCTGATAATAGCATACACTTCTTCAATTATTCCTTCTCTAGCTTTCTTTTTTCCTTACAAACAAATCTTACTGGCAAACTTGGAACACAGTGATCTGGAAATAACAATCACAATGGTTATTTTCATTTCTGTTGTTACTTACGAGGCTGTTGGTAAAGCTTTCCTTCCTCACCGTCTCCACCTATATATATATATATATAGGCTTCGTTCAGTTGCCAGTTTGGTTCTGATACATGCATAGTCTGTTCTATGGCTTACCCATCAGTCTCTCTTTCCTGTGCCATCCCCTTTTTTTGACCTAATTGGTGACAGACAGTCCCCGGCCATTAGGTTTACGAGCACAGAAGAGATCGATTTGTGGGAAACTCCTACGCTTTTTTTCAACAAACAGGGCATCATGAACACCACGAGGCCGACATTGACAGATCTTTGCAAGTCAACAACGCTCAGAAGAAGTACGACTCGAGTACCTGTAGGCAAGGGTTAACCAAAACTTGCACCTCTGTACGTAGTTATTAGAGTGTCTATGCCTGTATATGTGCTGCTCTTTTCTCCTCCAAGGGCATGTTTGTTTTGGGTATTAAACATGGGTGGTATTGAAAATATATTCTTTATATTTTTAATACCAATGAAAATTAGTACGGATAATAGAAAGTATTTCAATCGCCTATCATGTTTATTTGTTCAATAGGTACTATAATAAATCCTACAAACAACTATCTATTCTTGTAACACCCCAAAACACATCCTGAGCGACATTATATTCTAAAATCATTTATATCATGAGAGTACTAATATAATCCCTTAACAAACAAGACTTCATTTGTCATCCACGAATATTTACAACATTATTCAAAAGAATAAGCTCAAGTCATGGCTATTACATCTCAAAAATTAATTAAAGAAGCGCAGCGGAATAAACAAAAGAAGTTAGACTACACAATGTTCTAAAAGAATGTCATAGTCTAGTACAAAAGTAAAGGAGGTCGCTCTATGCGTCCACCTCGGGATCCATACTCCCGTCCAATGGAGTCTCCCAAGTAGCAGGCTCCTCGACCCTTACGTCCTCCTCCTCAAACAAGTAATTTGAAAAATGATAGTGATAGGAGGTGAGCACGAAGCTCTGTAGAAAAATTCTCTCAAACTCATA